AAGTGAGCTCAGTTATAATTATTCAATTAAAAGTAGTTTAGTGCTTCTGCAGCAGTCGTGGTAACTAGCATGGCTGAGGATGACACTGGGCGGGCAGGCCTATGCAGGTCAGATTCATGCCTCTGAGAAACTACAAAGAGGTCATTCTTCAGCTTGTGCAGCTATTTTAATGCACGAAGAAACAAGAAAATTGCAAAAGAAATCGAATGGAAATGTGAAATGTAATGTTTGTGGTGAGTTTGCTGTATTTGTCTTAATTTAAACATTTGATAGTTCTTCTATATTCTAATGTGAATAAAATGTAGGTTTATGAGATTTGGGAATCATTGCGATATGTTTTTATTTCAATTTCACACAACGTCCCAACTATTTCTGAATAGGGGTTGTAAATCAGCAATCATCCAAACTTTGAGAACCAGTGAATTAATAATAGCATTATGGTGCCCAAAAATGTCCAACTGTTTTATTCAGGTGATGTGAACCGAAAGAGTGGAAAGAAATAGGTTATGTTTGACAATCACTTAACAAAATTCCACATCCTGGTGGGAAAATTCAAACAACAGCTCAGGAATATAAATATCAAGAAGCTACTTTCAGCCACTCCGCATGTTTTAAAAGGCGTGACCTTACAAAGAATTTTTCACTTTTGATCCACCACCTAATGCAACCAAAATGGATTTGTATTTCCTCCAAACTGCACTTGTTAGGCAAATATCTAAACCACTAAACTGTACGCCACACCAGAATGATAAAAACTTAAAACTTGGAATAACTTTAGACAACAAAAGCACATAAACATTTGTAAACTGTGCTCTTCTTAAAAACAGCCAGAGTTCACAGGACAGTATAACAGGCTGGCACTCGATTGGCAATAAAAATATTAAATAGCATCAAAAAATAAACACATGGTAATCTTAACAAAACTCTGACTCCTGGCCATGTGTGCTCGACTGACTGCCAGCTAAGTTAATGTTAACTGGCAAAGTAAACAAAAGAAACAATGTTGTGCGACCAGAAGTTA